TTTGCTTGGTGTGTAAGTAAAGTAATTATAATAACTAATTAGATTTAAACCTACTTGATATGTCAGTAAAGTAAATAGCAAATAAGAAAGTATTCTAACCTTAGACTTCTTTAGAGTACAAGCAAAGTAAAATAAAAAATAAAAAAATGTTCTCCCTGAGATATTTCTAGAATTAATAATCACAACTCATATTGACACTCCCTCTTAAGTTGGAGCATAGAGATCAACCATGTCCAACTTGTTGATTATACCATGGAACACCTTCCTTGAAACTGCATTCGTAAGAATATCAGCCAACTGAACTTCAAACCAAACAAATGGAAATTGTATAATTTTTTATCGAGATTTTCTTTGATGAAATGTCGATAAACTTCAACATATTTGGTGCGATCATGTTGCACAAGATTTTGTGCAATTTCAATGGTTGTCTTATTATCGTAATAAAGATTCATAGGTTTTGCATATTCAATTCCCAACTCTTTAAGAACACTCCTAATTACAATAATTCGCATACACCATGTGCCATACCTCGAAATTCAACATTTCCACTTGATCTTGCCTCAATCTTTTACTTTTTGCTTTTCTAAGTGACAATATTACCTTCCATGAAAATAAAACAACCAGATGGGATCTTCTAGTTGTTTGATCACTTGCCAAGCTAGAATCCGTAAATCTTTCAATGTTAGAGATACCATTTTTTGAGAACAACAAACCTTTGCCCAAAGCACTCTTCAAGTATTTTAAAATTCGGTATACTGCATTTATATGTTCTTAACTTGGTGCATGCATAAATTGACTTACAACACTTACAACATAGGCTATATCCAGTTTTGTGTGTGATAAATAAATTAATTTTCCAACTAACTGTTGATCACGATCTTTATCTATTGGAAGTTGATTTGGAAAAATTCTAAGTTTAAGATTCATCTCTACAGGCGTGTCTACTAGTTTGCAAGTAAGCATTCTAATTTAAGTTAAGAGATTTATCACATATTTTCATTGTGAAAAGAAAATCCCTTGTTTTGATCTTGCAACCTCAATCTTTAAGAAATATTTAAGTTACCCCAGATCCTTCATTCCAAAACTAATAGCCAAATATTCCTGTGATGCTTTCAATTTGTATAAGTCGTCTCTCATCAAGACCATATCATCGACATGCATGATTAAAGTTGTTATCTTCTCCTTTTTGTGTTTTATAAATAAAATATGGTCTAAGCTACTTTGCTTATAATCAAATGCTTTTATTATAGAAGAAAACCTCCTAAACCAAGCTCTAGGTGACTATTTTAGCCCATATTATGTCATCTTTAATTTACAAACTTTCCTTCTACATAAAGAACTGTGTTTAATTCCTGATGGTAACTCCATGTAATTTTTTCCTCTAAATATCCATTGAGAAAAGCATTTTTAACATCAAATTATTGTAGAGGCCAATCCCGATTTGCTGCTATAGATACAAGAATGTGAATTATATTGATCTTAGCTACTAGTGCAAAAGTTTCCTGATAATCCACCACACACCTCTTCATATACCCCTTTGTAACGAACCTTACTTTATATCTAGCAATGTTGCTCTTTGCTTTGAGTTTCGTCGTAAATACCCATCTACATCCAATCGTTTTCTTTTTTTCGGGTAAGGGAACCAATTCCCAAGTGTAATTTTTTTTACAAAGCCATCATTTCTTCATTTATCGCCTTAATCCATTTCAAATTTTTTAATGCATCTTGCCAACTATTAAGAATAGATATAATGGATAATTGATTAATAGTGAATATAAATGATTTAGGCCATCTATGGGAAGACACATAGTTTCTAATTAGGTATTTGACCTTGGCTATAGGATTAGGTTTATATTATTTCTTTAAAAGTTCTTTATTCGATCTTTGTGGATATTTAGGAACTATCCTTTCTATAAGAACATATGTTTCATGAGACTTATCAGATATAGGATTTGAGATATCATGAGACTCATCAAATATGAGGTTCGAGATTACTTGAGGGAGAACATTCTAGGTTGATTTTTCAGTTAATGGTTTAGGCATAAGCATGGGCAATTATAAGGATTCTATGACAGAAGCACTTGATTCACTAGCAAGAAGAACTAACTCACTGTCAATTTCGAGAATACCATCACAATATTGTTGAACACTTTTCCCAAAACGTTCATTCACTTCCTTTAACTCCATAAACTCCTCTCTTCCATCTCCCTATTGTAACATATTCTCTTCATGAGAGTTCTCCCCCCAATGAGAAGGTTTAGAGACTCCCCTTGAATAATAATGCTCTAATTCACGAAAAGAAATATCTTTAAGTTATATGTAATTTACAGATTTAAAGGTCATTATACCTATACCCTTTCTGAAAATCAAAATAACCAACAAAGACATACTGTTTTGCACATGGATCAAGTTTATTTCGTAAGTTTTGGGGAATGTGAACATAAATAGTGCAACTAAAAACTTGTGGTTTAAGATTAAAGAGGTGGAGAACAGAAAGTAAAGATCTCATTTTTTGTTGGGGGGTTTGAAAATTTATTACTTGAGAAAGTATTCGATTAATAAAGTAAGTAGCAGATTTTACAACTTCTCCCTAATAAAATCGAAGCATGTTCATGCCAAAGAGAGAGGCACGGATCATTTCCAATATCTGTTTATTCTTTCTTTCTTCCAATCCATTTTTCTGCGAATTATTGGTACAAGAAGTCTGATGATGAATCCCATGATGGCACAAAAATTTGTTAAGGGATCCATCATAGTTAGTTCCATTGTCCATTTACAGAGCATGAATTTGCTTTTGGTACTGAGTGCCCATTATAGTATAAATTTTTGAAATACTCTGCATACATCACTTTGTTGTGAAATAGAGATATCCAAGTCATTTTAATGTATTCATCAATAAATGTAACAAAATAATGTGCTTTAGAAATAGAAGGAATTTTTGTAAGACCCCAAATATCAGAGTGAATAACCACAAAAAGTTCTAAACTTTTGTTCAAATTTAATGGATCAGAAATACGATGGTTCTTAGCAAGTTTGCAAATGTCACAATGAAAATTCAAATCATTCAGACCTAAAAATAGATGTTGTTGTAATTTCCTATGATAGTCGAAAGAAAAATGTCCGTATCTTCGGTGCTATAACCATATAGTTGCTCGAGCCTTATCTTTACTACTAGTTAGATTTGCCTTGCTAATTTTCGGTCCCCCATTTTTGTTAACTCCAAATAGTAGAGTTTGCCCTACCTAGACCATAATTAAGAATCTTCCAAGTCAAAATGTCTTGAAAAATGTAAAATGAGGGCCAAAAAGTTATAGTGCAATTAAGAGTAAAGGTAAGCTAACTAACAGACAAAATATTACATTCAAAGGATGGAAGAACAACAACTATATCTAATGTAAAAGCATTGGATAATATGACAAATCTCTTTCCAATACTAAGACAAGTATTACCATTAGCTATGGAGATAATAGATTGAGAAGAAGGGAATATTGATCATAACTAACTAAAAGTTGTAGAGAACACCGATGCCTTACCACCCATACCTGAGTGGGTAATGTTTGTCGTAGGCTGTGATTGTTTGTAACGTTTACTATTGCCTTCAGTTGGTTTTCTTTTGTGGATGTCACCATGGCTTTCCTTGCAATCTTCTTTCTAGGATTCTTTGTGAAGTCCCACCACTTAAGATAGCCAATGATTTCAGACATTGTTGCTTCAAATAACCTATTTCACCACAATGAGCACATACTAGATTGTTTGGTTTTCTAGTTGATTGATTGCTTCAATTCTTCAAAGAGTTAAACGATGATCCTTGTCAAGTTCGGTTGGCCAGCATAGCCGTGCTCTTAGGATTTGGATGACAACCTCTTATTGTTTGTTTTTGTTGATATTCTTTCCTAACATATGTATACATGCTTTCTAAATTAAGTTTTAGATCTTTTCGTAAGATTCCTCCATAAACTTGAGTAAATTCACTAGTCCATTTAGAAAAATGTGGACTTGAAGCCTAGCCATCGCGAAATGCAATTGGATTACACCTTCAACTGTTCCTTCGTATGAGATAGTCCTGTGATCAACTTTCTCAAAAATAACTACAAGTTCATTATAATATGTTGATAATGGTCGACAATTTTGTTTGGTAGAGAGAGATCTCTAGTTCAATTCACGAATATAGGTTTTGTCCGATCCATCATAAAAGGTTTTTGATACAACTTCCCACACGTCCTTGGTTGTGGGAAGACAAATAAATTATTGCATCAACGATGGACTCATTGAGCCAATAAGACAACTTTTCACGTTGTGATTTTTAGTAATCCATGTTCCAAGATTAGGATCTTCAAGTCTAGGGTTTTTTCTTCTCAAGTGAGATATCTAGCTTTGTTGTGAGCAGTAGTATGCATCTCCATGAGTTAAGACTATAATAAGTAACTTGTCTTATCCAGTGTCATACTGATAAGAAACACAGAATTGTTTTGATATGGTTGGAATAATGGAATTGGTTACTGCCATGTAAGTTTTAGATGAATAGAAGAAAAAACTATGATGGTGATTTTTCTAGTATGGGCTTTAGAATACGAGATTCATGTTAGAGTTCTTTTCAATTAGAATTGTTTTGATACCATGTAAAAAATATTCAAATCTACGCAAAGAATTAAATTGTTTGATGATAAATAAAGAAATACTTGAGGCTATTTATAATAACTAACTAAATCTACTTGGCGTGTAACTAAAGTAATTATAATAGACAACTACACCTAAATCTACTTGGTGTACACGTAAGGTAAATAACCAAATAAAGAAGTATTTTAATCCTAAACTGTCTTAGAGTACAAGCAAGGTAAAAAGAAAAAGAAAAATATTCTTTTCAAAATATTCTTAAAATTAATAATTATAGTTTATGCTGACAATTCACCATAAATTTGATCAATTTATATATTTCCTTGTTCATATGAAAAATTACTATTAACTGTAAATTGATAGAATATAGAGATAAAGAAGGGGATTTTGCTTTTTACATAAAACAAAGAAAAAAAAAGTATTAATGCAATGTGACATTTCTGCCAAATATATTGTACAATAAGTAACAAAATGCAATAATATTGATAAACAGCAAGATTAAAGATATCCTAAGTTGTGATTGCTATCGTGTCCACAATTTAAAGAAAACGTCGGGTTGGCCAACCACCGTCACCTTTGGCTGGCTCTACAGCAACTGGCTTCATCACGCAGTACCCTGCCCTTGAGCAGGAACCCACTCTCGCTCTCCTGAAATCGTCATAATTGCTCATATCCATGGCAAGTCTTCTATCCATTTCTTGTCTTTCAGCTCTCCTCCTAAGATTTTGTCTCTTTATCAGAGAACTAAGTCGTTGTTTCCCATCCTTGCTGCTGCTGCTGCTACCACTTATTGGCACTGGCATCGACTCTAATCCCATCAACTTGGCTACCACCCCTGGCTTGCACCAGATCACACTCTCCCCTCCCAAAGTCGATGGCAAACACAAACTTTTCTCTAATCTCGATTCAAACTCAATTTTGCAATACCTCTCTCTCAATCCATGATCACAGCAAACTGACTTCCTCCCACCGGTTCCAACGATTTCAGAGTTTCTAAACGACGATCGATACATGGCATCTTTTCCATCAAGAGAGAAGCGAGGGTACTGATTCAACGCATTCCTGGCAGATCGTAAGATATCAGAATTGTTAGCACAAGACATTCTGCCAGCTCGACTATCGCCGTATTCATTGAGCTTTGCTTTTCTAGCAAGCTCTTCTTCCAACTCTAACCGCAATATCATCTCCTCCAACGTTGTTGGAGGGCTTCGGGCCGTCGAGTTAGCATTGGAGGCAACAACGGATGGTGGGGTGACCAAGTCAGAGGACGTAGTAGCAGAATGGTCAGTCTGGTGTTGGTTGAGAGTAGAGGTCGAGCCATCACCGTTGCAGAAATTTCTGATGCCTTTCTTCATCGTGGCTCCAATGGAGTTCTTCAAGAGAAACAAGGAGAGATCTTTCATGGGTTAGGTGAACCGTGCATGGAAGAAGAGAAAACAATGGAGCTTAATCTTTTTGGTTAGCATAAGAAAGAAACAAGTGGAATTGGTAGATAAAACGTGAGTGGAGTAAATATGGAGCGGTATAGGATTTAGTTGGAGAAAAGATAATAAATAGCGTTAAAAGTGTTCACATGACATATATGAGAAAACATTTTCACAGGTTTCTTTCCAGCAAAGCTCTTCCCATGAATCAATCAATGCAATGCCTCTCAGGCTTTGAATCTTTTTCACTAGGATTGGGTGGGGGGGTTACAATGGAGATCATTGATCACTTTCCACGAATTACAACTTGTTAGAAATTAAAACCTCTACACTTATACAGCTTAGCATCCACCATAACTTCGAAGGTATTGTACTGACACGTAAACAAACACACACGTCTACACTCAAGCTAGCTTCCGACAGAATTCATATCCATACCATCATAAAACAAGGGAAATACGTACCCTACCAAAATTTAATGAAACCAGGATCAATTCTACTTCTTGTTATTTTCATAATTGACTTCATATTATTAACATAGGTACGTAGGTTATATTATAAATGAAAAGTAAGAAAAGAATAGTGCAGAATTTTTTTCCCAATTAATTTCGAGACAAAATACACAATAAAATATTACAAATGTGTCTCATTTACTAAAAGCTACATTTTTAACTTTATATATAAATGTTGTTTTTAAACATTACATAGTTATTTTGCATACTATCTATATAAGAAATGAGAAACTGGAATGCGTAAAAGAAGAGAAAATGTGAAAATTAAAAATGGGAAAAAAGTCAAAAGAACACTGTACGTGGTAAGAGAAGGTGTTTCATTGATTACAATTAATTTTTCGTTCAATATTTAATAATAGATGTATTCACAACAATAGAAAACGTGTAATTCAGCCATATTTAATAATAGATGTATTATTTGTGCTTATTGTATATATTCGTCCAAAGACATAAAAGGTCTTCTTAATCTTTAAAAAAGCAAAAGACATAATATTCAAATAAACTCTCAAATTATACAAAAAAAAAAATCAATTAAGCTCTTCTATTTTTATTGCATTCAATTAAATTTTTATATTTTTATTTTAAATTAAATAAATCTTTTTTATTAACTATTGATTAATTTTTATTAATTAAAATAACCGTTGTCAATTCAATGTCATGTTGTCTGTAATGTGACAGATTGATGTATCATTTTTTAAGATACATTGTCACATGAAAAATGGTGTGACAAAAATTAAAATAACCTAATTGCTGATTGAATTTTTTAATTGCTGACTTGGTTTTTAATTTTTTTTTTCAACCAATCATTGGATTTGCATTAAGACCCCGAAAAGTTCAGTACAATGAATTTCAGCACATTAGGTTTTTAAACTTTTTTACCCAATCAAATGTCTTAAAAATTTAATTTCAGGACAGTTTGTTTTGTGTATTAATTAATTAGAAATTTCATTAAATTAAATTTTTATCTACCACACATAAGAAAACCTTAAAGTAAAGTTTTAAAAATCAATTTTGATGGAAGGTAGGGAGCAAGTGTTTTAAATTGAATGTACTGTCTCTCATGTTATGACATATTATGATTAGCTTGAATGGACCAACCCCAACTCTAGTTTGGGGATTAGGCCTTGAAGATGGGCCCCATTACCTGGGTGAAAGATCAAAGGGCTAGAGTCCAAGCCCCCCTGAATGATAGCCTTGCCAACCTGACCCATCATCAGCTTTATCTATTGCTGGTTACTAGTTAGTGTAAGGCAGGCCCTATTGCTAAAGTGTTTTAAAATGAATGTGCCATCGCTCATGTTATGACATATTATGATTGGCTCGAATGGACCAACCTTGACTCTAGCTTGGGAATTAGGCCTTCAAGATGGGCCCTATTACCTGGGTCAAAGAACTAAGGTCCGGGCTCCAAGCCCGACTGAATGATAGACTTACCAACCTGACCCATCATCCATCCAACTTTACGTATTGATGTTATTAGTTCGTTAGTTTAAAAATCAAACATGATTCTTGAAAACTTTTTTAAAAAATATTTTTTTAAAAAATAAATTTAATAAAAAAGAGTTTTCTCTTTTTTTAAAAAAAAATATATTATTTTTTCAAAAAATATCTCTCACTCAATCAATCTCCCTCTCCTCTCTTTCCTTTTGCAAATTACCATTCTTCAACTTAAATTGCGATTTTCCTTTCCTTTACATTTCTCTACAAAAACTATTAAAAAAAAAACCTAACAAAAGAAAATCAAAATCTAAAATTTTTTTGTTCTTACAAAGATCAAGAGAAAAAAAAATCTAAAATTCAAAACTGCATTCAGGAAAAAACAAAATACCCAAAAATAAAATATCAAAATCTAAAATTTTTTTGTTTTTACAAAGACTAAGAAAAAAATCTAAAATTCAAAACTACGTTCAAAAACTATTTAAAGGTTTTCTCTCTTTTTCACTAAAAAAGATTTTAATGTTAAATAAGTCGTTTTCTCTTCTTCTTTTTTTTTGGAAAAATTGAAGTATCATGATTCGATTGCTTGTTAGATCAACAAAAATCTAATACTATTGCTACTATATAAATTTGAGAATTGTTCTGTTCCTTTACTGATTTCTTTGATTTTAATATGAAATTATATGTAAGCTTAAAGTATTATATTATAACTTATTAGGTGATTGAAGATGGTATAAATATCTTTTATATTAATTTTAATCGAAATTAAAGTTTATATAATTTATTTTATTAAATAATTTATCAAACAATTCTATCTTAATTTTAAAAATTATTATTTTTCATAAAAAATTAATAATAACTTTTAAATTAAAAATAAGTTAAGTTAAACAGGTTCTTAGTTAGTTTGATTTCGAAACCCTGGACATGATATAAGTATATTGACTGCTATTGTCTACCAGTGTTACCATTCGTATGTATTTGGATTGGTTGTTCATATGTTTTATTTATTTGATTTAAGATCTTTTTAATATTTGTAACTCATGTGCATGATTCACGAACATGTGCTCCTACAATGTACCATAGACTAAAAAATGGCACACTTTTTGAGGAACCCCACGCCCCATTTTTATTTAACACACAGCTCGAACCACTGAGCAACACGTTTCCATTATCAAAAACATAGGCTTGTGCCTTAGCATTTGATTGCACAGACAACTTCAAAGGAACCCATTTGATTAAGCTGCTTTAATATTGATTGGACTTGTTAAACTCTTTTTTTAATGCTTAATGCATAAGAAAGAAGAGGAGCCCAATACTCCCTCATTGCGTGTATGCTGAAACAACCCCTAACAATACAAGAGTAAAAATAAAATAGTACTGATATATAGTTAGAGGTGACCTCTGTGATCACGTACTTTGGGGACCCTTGAAGATTTGTAGACCATGTCAAATCAAGTATCCTTGGACCCACCATTCCGACCTCGCATAGTGAATCTCCAAATCAACATTCTCCACGTGTACACTGATCCCACTCTCTCGCTTGCATATATACACCACTTCCGCACTCAGCTCCATCTTCAGTTGTTGGCACTTCCTTTCACAAACTTCTTCATAGAAACATGTCCTCCCAGTTGCATGTTTTCTCTCTTCAGACTCTGAAACATCGTTGCCTCGCCACACTCAAAACGCGGAGCCCACATATCAGCTGCCTCGCAGTCCGGGATAACCTCCTCTACGCCGCCGCCATCAACGAGATCAACGTCTTCGATTTATCTAACCACTCCCCGGTCGATTCTTTTAACGACGATCCCACCTCCGGGTTCGTCAAGTCCATTGCATTCAACAACACGAAAATCTTCACTGCTCATCAAGATGGCAAGATCAGAATCTGGGCAATCACCCTTTCCAAAAAACACCAACTTCTCTCCACTCTCCCCACAGTTAAAGACCGCTTCCTTCATTTCATGTTGCCAAAGAACTACGTTAATGTTAGGCGTCATAAGAAGAGGCTTTGGATAGAACACTGGGATACAGTTTCGGGTTTGGTTATAGTAAACCAGAAAGGGCTAATGTATTCGGTTTCATGGGACAAAAGTTTCAAGATATGGAACGTAAATAACCGACGTTGTTTAGAGTCTGTTAAAGCTCATGAAGATGCCGTAAACACTTTGGTTGTTTCGGACAATGGAACTGTATACACAGGCTCTGCAGATGGGTTGATTAGGGTTTGGGAGAGAGCTAATAAGGTGAGACGGCACAGCTTGGTGGCTACTCTAGACAAGCACAAATCTACTGTTAATGCGCTTGCTTTAAACGGTGACGGATCGGTGTTGTTTTCGGGAGGCTGTGATCGTTCCATCGTGGTGTGGGAGAAGAAAGGAGAGAATAATGCCGAAAATGATCAGGTGGGATTTGTAGAAGCATTGTGGGGTCATTCAGGCGCTATATTATGCTTAATCAACTTAGGGGATTTGTTTGTGAGTGGATCATCCGATCGGACGGTGAGGGTTTGGCAACGTGGGAAGGAGTGTGGGTTCCATTGTAGTATAGTGCTGGAGGGACACGAAAAACCTGTGAAGTCGTTGGTAGCAGTTGCCAGAGGCATGTTCGAGGGTGTCTTTACAATCTGCAGTGGAAGTTTAGATGGGGAAATTAGGGTGTGGGAGATCTCAAGATGTTCAAACCTCAAGAACAAATCCCATGAGATTAGCATTTTATTGGATGGAGTTCCTAAAAGTTGCTAGCATTTGCTTTTCTTTGTTAGCATTTTGATATTTATAATATATACACAATTCTATATATAT